GAAACTAGCGAGCTAACTTCCGCTAGCTTCCTGCTAACTTCTAACTCCGTTAAATGTAATAACTTTTGTTTTCATGGATGCCTGGAAGTTAAACTTTATAGTTACACCTGGTAAAGCAGCAATGCTGATCGTTTTATTAAAGATGAAAGAATTTAGACAGTTTTTAACTCTCAGTGATGCTGCAGTGTTGTTTGACCTGAAGATACGGAGTTTAGGACCCAGATTACTCCCAGATTTAAGAGCATCTTAGTCCGACAAATAGACAATAACGACGGCCGCTTGCATGTTCTGCAAAAAAATGTGCTTTGTTGTGTATCTGACGGACAAACACCAAACCAGTTCCACATCACTGAAGTTGCACCATTTTTACAAACCAATTCTGGTTCATCTGTTTCACTCAACAATCGGCCATGTGCGTATGAAAACAAAGGCACTGCGCATGCGCGTTTTACTCCCATTCTATCGCGATATTTCATTTTCCTATCGTTGCCTAACATTATACCGGTATTACCGTGAACGGTATAATATGGCCCAGCCCTACATACTACAGCACGTCCTTGGGCCAGTATCAACTGCACTGTCTGCCATAACTGCACTAAATAGTAATGAGGCCCTAGAATGAAGGACAGAACAAGGGTAAATGTAAGGTGAATAAGATTATATAATAAGTAAGTGAATAAGAAGAAAACTGGGGCAGAGACTTTAAAAAGCATGACGGCACTTAACAGAAAAATGTTGAATACAGACTGTGTAAAGCTTTCACATTTTTACATTATTATGAATATTATTGTGAAAGTTGTTCTAGAATTTGTCGATGCAGTTTTCTGCAGAATAATGAACCTCTGTCCATTTTTACTTCTGAGAAACTCACTGCTCTACTCAGTTATGTTACTGGCCTGTCACCAGTTAACCTAGTTAGTTACCTAATAAAATCCTCCAGTTGTTTCTTTTTTAGTAATGCTTACTTTTATGAAACATTTGATGTCTTCTATGTTCTATAATAAAATATGAAGTCATGAGATTTGCAAATCATTTTCTATTTACATTTTACAAAATTAAGTAACTTGGAGTTGTAATAAAATTGGGCTTTAAAATGAGGTTGTAATAACAAAAACAAAAATGATGATGATGATGATGAGGATGATGATAACAACAACTTAATATACTGTGAAAATGCCTTACAGGTCATATAGCCCACCACTATGATGCCATCTCTATAAGAGAGCGAGATGAGGACTGAGGAACAAAGACTGGTTGATGTCATTAGAAAAAAAACTAGTACATGACAGAAAAAGCATGCACTACCTTCTATTTGTATTAAGCTGAGCTTAACAGACTTATCTTCGTGTTTGGTTTATAGAAAAATCTTGCGTCACAGGACAAATACACAAAGCCTGCATTAAGTCTCCTGCATTAAGTCTCTCTTTCCTATGACTGTCTCCGGCGACAGTCATAGCAAAGAGATGAAGCACTTTTGAAATATGGGGAAAGCCAAAAACTGCGCTTCCTCCACTTCCGTAACATTGATTCATTAATGTTGAATTCTCTCGCAGCTGTTCTATTCCCATGTTGTTGCAGTATATTAATAACTAACCTCGTATTGTGGATGAATAATCTCAGTTGTTCTCCTGACTGAAGTTTGGCCCGTGTATAGCATCCTGCTATGCGATTGCATTTGTCCCTGACCACCAGAATCCCTCACGTTAACTTTTATCGAGTGGAAAAAAAGTTGGCGTTCATCCTCCAGCTTCACTGTGCTAATGTTATGCTAACATAGCTGTGTCGCTAGCAATCACGTAGCACAACATTATATACCAGGTAGTCCAACTTCAGTAACCCTGCAAACGCCACTGCTGTTTAGTTTTCTGTCTTCATTTATGTTGGAAGTGGTAGCAGAGCTGTACGTTTTAATTAGTTTCAAAAATCTCTCAGTCAGAACATGGTATGAAATGTTTAGGTGGAAACTAGCGAGCTAACTTCCTGTTAACTTCTAACTCCGTTAAATTTAATAAATTCTGTTTTCATGGATGCCTGGATGTTAAACTTAATTGTTACACCTGGTAAAGCAGCAACGCTGATGATTTTATTAAAGATGAAAGAATTTAGACCGTTTTTAACTCTAGTGTTCGTTTGACTTTGGGACCTGAAGAGACGGAGTTTTGGACCCAGATTACTCCGCGAAGCTCCTCACTACGGCAGCCGTAATGCTCTGACAATCCATCAAGCAGTGCGGCTTACCAAAGTTGTACTAAAACATTTTTTAACAGATTTCTGCACGCCAAAATCGGTTCGAGGTCAGTAAGCACAACCAGAATTCATACATAAGGCACACTCTCGATTTTTGAGAAAATTAAAGGATTTTAAGTGTGCCTTATAGTGGGAAAATACGTTATACAGAAGAAAAGAATATATCGTGATATATATCGTTACCGCACATGCTTCAAATTATAGCGATATGGATTTTAGGCCATATCGCCCAGCCCTACTGCAGCTCTTCCAACTACAGCATTATCTGTACAAGCTGTATGTTCGAAAAGCCTGTTATAGTTTTGTTTATGTAAATGTACATGGAAAACCCAACCTGTGTTACTCTGAATAAACTGCTATCATGAGATAAAACAGCTACCTAAAAGCTATAACATTTCATTTAAACTGGATACATAGACAAATATCAGCATCAGCCTGTCGGTTGAGACCTATTGGCTCTTAAGTTTTAAATACTCCTATGCCTTTTAGCACATATGATCTATAATCTGTTATGCTGAAGAACACAGAACATAGAAAGCGTTTATTTGCTTACACTAGGGAAGGTGAAAATAATTTATGTGCTCTGGAATATTTTTTGGAAGACAGCGAAGAAAAGGAATGCCTATTATATCATATTATTGTATCTAGATCTATTACCACACTCTGTTTTTGCATGGATCCCCAAACTAACCTTTGACAAAACTTGTAATTCAAGGAAATCATAAAAAGTCCATAATCAATGTGTAATCACGTACAGCTAAGCCTTCAGCTAACAAAACGAAAACCTCAAAACTGAGGAAGCGAAAGCTTTTGCAAACGGATCTGTGCAAGGTGAAAAATGAGCTTTATATATGCATTCTACCACACACAAAAATGTCATGTCAACATGCCATGTATGTTAATATGCTTCTGTTCTTCCACTGGGTTGTCTCAGTCAGCTGGGTAAATGGTAAGACTTCTGAGATTTGGAAGCGCAGCTCTGAGGCTACATCCAGGGATGACAATAAAAGCTTTTCAGGCTTCAGGGACAGGATGGGTACAAGAAAATAAGAGCATAATTTAGAATTGAACAAATGGCAAATGTCTGGTCCTCTGACTCAGATGCATTATTATAATATTGTCTGGCCACAAAACAGCTTATATGCATCTTGACATTACTACTACATGTTTCTGGCCGTTAGGCAGATAATTAAAACTACTCCTCCTTACAGGGATTACTTTTTTGTGTACATGACGACATTCTCTAACACATCAGTGTAAAGTCTCCCATATGTGTTAAGTTAACTTGAGTTAGAGTGAAGCTAGGTGACTGCAAAGACCTGTTTTATGTTGTGATTCACATTATTTTCATACACAAAGTATTTAATGATCCTTTGTGCCCCTACAGAAGAGACCACACCCATCTGGTTAGACCTGTTTTATCGCAGGATAAGTGTGATCACTCAGAACATATGTATTTGCTGTGATCCTTCCCTCTAAGTGGACAAGCGAACCCACACAACTCACCAACGAAACTGTTCCCAACAGAGCTGCTGGATCCCCTTACTGTAGGTGTCAAGGGTTCAGATTCTTCCTTTAATTTGTCACCTATCAGAAAACTCCTGACACTAATCTGATAAGATTAAGTAATCACACTGGCAGTACAAAGTCAGTGTGATTCAGTCTAAAGTCAATCGCCTTGTTAACTGGAGAATTTTGCTGATGTAGCTGACTTCTGTGTGCTCTGTTGGTGTAGCCATCTCCAGTCTCAATGCCGGTGTCAACCCGGACTGAACACCGCATCACACTGTACCTCGGGGTTCAGGTTACAGAGGTTTCGCAAGGACCTGTTTACTGATTCAAGATCACTAGCCAGGAATCTACTTGGTTTTGCCTATCTGCGCTCTAGAACCCGAGAGCATAAATAATCTAACACAAAGTTAATTCAGAAATGGAGCGCCATGTTCGCAGAAAAACTATCATCTTTGCCGGTCCATTGGTGAAATGCTGACCATAACGTTAAATATAAACGGTAAACCATGTGACAACTTTTAAATTCACCGACAATACCAATAATGAAACAGTAAACGTCCCGTTAGGGACAGAAACTGGTTACACGGCTAATTATGAGAGAATAGACCAGCGGGCCTTCTCTGACCACGGAGCCCCCTTAGCTCCTACACCTTCGACAGTTTCATGATGAATGCCGCAGCACCATTCTTACCTTGGTGGTTAAAAAGCCTCCATAACTTTGTAAATAGTATTCCCATGGCTGACGGTGATGAATTTCGATGCCAGCTTGTAATAGTTCGATGTACCTTAGCTAGCCAGCCTTGTTGTTCAGTCCTGCCAACTTCAACTAGCTAGCTAACTTGCTAACTACAACGACGATGACCTGTCAAAGCATTCAAATACAACTGCCATACTTATATGAACTGACTTCTACTCTACATGACCTACGGGGTGAAAATGTAGGTCCGACGACTGATTTACTGTATGAAACAAAACCGAAAACGCTTAACACTGTCACTTGCTAGTTCGTATCAGCTGGCTGTTGTGAAGTACCCTGCGCTGTCAATCTTGCGCATGCGCGTCTAGTATCTTATGGAGCGCTATAAGGAAGGAAAAGCATTTATTATATTATATTATATGATATGATATGAAAACTTCATACACAACAGGTTTAATAATTATTAAATACAGTAACAGTTAAATTATTTTTTATGAATATTTCTATAAGCAAAAAACAAAAAAAACCCACTGGTATCCATACAACAGCATAACAGCAGTTTATTTCATTACAGTTGTAAAATGACAGTGCACACAAATTCTAATCAATGCATCATTCTCTCACAGGCAGTATTCAAATCTTTTAAATCACTGCTTATGCTCCACTGTTTTGAAACTACAACAATAAAAGCTACTGTGTAAGGAAAATAAGAACGGAAGCCTGCTCGTCAGACTTCCCTCTGCAGAATCACAGCACAATGAGATCTCTGGTCTATGACCTGAAATAAAACGAAACTTTTCAATATCTAAATATTAAAATACAATATACAAGGATATGTCATGTAAAAGGTAATGCTATTTAATCCCATATTAGCTGGTAGCGTACATATAAATTGAAAGATGGGGGAGAACTGGCTGCTCAACATTTCCATAAAAGTAGCATGTAAATGACACTATTAACAAAGGCAGTGCAGTCCTGCCCAAGTGCTTTTAGACAGCTTCTTATTTATCAGTAGTCTTTAATAAAACTCAAGGAGAATACATAGAAAAGCTGTAAATGACAATATAGAAGAGGTGCATGTTAAATTGCTACTCAAGGAAAGTGTTTAGTGTTACTTTATTTTATAAAACCTTTTACTAATATATTTTTTGTCTGATGGTTGGAGGGTGTAAGCAAGGCTCTTATATAAAATGACATAAATGGAATGTAATTTATTGTTCTGGAAATTGAACTTTACACAAATTAAAATTTCTTTCCTTTGATTATTTTTCAGTGTATTATATATGGAAGCCCTCAATATAAATCACTCACAAAAACCCAAAGTCTTGCTTAATCCATGTCCTACGAAACCCATGACAGACAACAGCAGTTAATTGAAGCATGGCATGTGAGAAATGCGATGTTGTGACCATTTTAAAGACTTCTGTGCTGGAAAAACAGCTTTTTTTTTCAAGAAACAAAATCATAAAATCACAAAAATAACATAACTCTCAGAATCACACTCCCATCAGGGGTGAGAACATAAACGCTACACTTCTAGGTCTAATTGACCTCTCATTCCTGAGGTTGTGGAGCTTTGAAATGTATTAGTATCTGCATGATTTTTCTCCTTTTCTGTCATATGATTTATGACAAAAACAGCGTTTAAAAAGAAAGGGAACAGGAAGCTACTGCATGAACCCTGAATTAGCCATTCATGTCACTTTAAAACAATAGTTGTAAAATTCAGGATTCGGGAGCAAGCTTTACAGGACTTATCACACACATCAAGGACAGCGGCACATTAAAGATGCATTAAACTCTCCTTCTACCATCTCCTGGACCCGTGCAAACAAGTTCTGCGCTGATCATCACTGCTGGATGCTGTCTGGCACTGGCCTGAGTCAGATGGTCCCTGTAATTACAGTCCTACCTGCATGCTACAGTAACAGCTGAGACAGCGGGAATGGTCCAGAAGGGCCTAGTTTACTTCACTCACATGTCATACTGGTGACATATTCAAAAAATGTCCAACTTTCCCTCTTAAATATAACTTTACTGATCTTGTGCTACTTTCATATCCAGTACCTTGTTCACATCAAAGCAAGAGCAGGATTCTTATTTTTGGGTTCAAATGCTCATTTGTCAGGAGCCAAGGCCAAAGTAGATATGAGGTACTACACAAAATAAAAGGTGGTTTCAGTCCTCGTGAATGTAAGAGATTTATCATGTAATAGCAAACTTTCCCCTTGTGTTCACGGTGGTCGCTTGAAGAGACACAGGCCTATACTTTGTTAACAGCAGGCCACAGCTCAGAGCCGGTGCCTGGAGTCCTGGCTATAGCCTCCCGGGGATCCTCGGTTACGGTGGGGCTTATAAGAGTCCTGGTAGGGGTCCTGGTAGTCCTCCTCCACCAGAGGAGAGTGGTCCCTGCTGTGCTGTGAGCCTGAGGAGAGACGGTTGCGATTCTTCCGTGCCCGCTCGTTATGGCAGTTCTCATCGGCAGACACTAGACTGCGACGTTCAACGGGCGAATGGTCTGTCGTCGTGTGGTTGCTGTTACGGTTTCTTTGGGCCTGTTTGAGAGAAGTAATGCTGATTTCAAACTGCATTTTGTTTTGTTAACACTCGAACAGAATCAACATAACTATGCATTTTTAATATGTTTGCATTAGAGTTTGCATTAGCCCTGCGACAGACTGGCGACCTGTCCAGGGTGTACCCTGCCTCTCGCCCTATGACAGCTGGGATAGGCTCCAGCGCCCCCGCGACCCTGAAAAGGATAAGCGGAAGCGAATGGATGGATGGATGATTAGAGCCATACAGATTTTCAGTCTGTTTATCGTCGAATATCAGATATTTGATGATTGAAAAATCCAAGAAGTAAAGATGGGAGAAACACCCTTCAACACTTCAATAATTAGTGCTGACATTTTATAGTTTGTCCACCAGAGGGCACTTTGCAACTAATCTGAATGGAGCCAGACAGAGTGTAAACGAGCAAATAAAAAAATAAAATCATATCAAATAAAATTGTTTGTTAATCATGGTTATTTTGAGTCTTCTTCATTGGTGTCCCCGTGAAATATATCACTGTAGATACCAAAAGGTTGATTCTGTTCATCTGGACGTAGCGTTTTCAATGGGGCAAACGTTTCGTCATTCATCCAAGTGACTTCTTCTTCTTGATCAATGGTCATGAGAATTTGCATATTAATGATTAAGGAACTGACCTCACAGCCTACTGTTCATTAAGTGGTCTAGGTTCCGCTTTTGTGCAAATGTACTGTTTAATGATGATGTGGAACCAAAAGCCAAATGACTCACCTACGTTCAAAAAACACTAGAATCTGTGTAAAAAAACATGATTCATGACTCCAGCTGCTCTGGAGTCATGAATCAAAGTTTAAAGTATTTGGCTCCAACTTGAAGCAGATTGCCTAAAGGCTAGAGAGTACTGCAGAGATGAGAGTCTACAGGCAAGGTAAAGGCTCTGGTAGAGGTTCTTTGCAGTTTATGGACATTATATCTGCTAATAAGGTGGATATAGGATAAGATTCATATCTGTATTTCAGTGCCATCAGTGAGTCATCTCATCCAAAATCAGTGCCAACATACAGCTAAACTCAAAGAATTATCATCAGACAATAAGAACGAGGAGTTCTGACCCCCACAGAGCCCTGATCCCATAGCCTTGGATTATATTACACAGAAGAATGAAGCCGATTCTTGGAACAAAAACAAACTACCTGCCAAGTACTCAGAAAAATACGTACACCTAGGAGGTCAGTTTGTCTTAAACACAAGTGTGATGTTTCGCATGCACTTTTTCACAGAACTTTAAGTTCTTTTACAACTTTAGTTATTAAAGGTTCTATAGTTTCTTCACTTACAGTATTGAGGAAGTTACAATTACAATAGATTAAAATGTAAAAAGTTTTTAAAATAGTGTTAAAGCCCATTTCACTGTTAAACCATCTTGTAAGTAGGTACCAAAAATTATATTTACTTTATTTCACTATACCCTAACTACTACTAACCTTTAGGTGCCTGGGCTATACTGGGGATTTGGGTAGATAATGGACTCATCTGTTGTCCACTAAAACCTGCTGTGGATATTTTTCCAGCATTGAAAATGTGACAACAAACCATTATAACTCACTCTAAGCATTCAAGGCTTCTGATCTACATCAGTAAAGGAGCTGCAAGCTTTTTACTTTAAAGACAGCAGGAGGGCCTTTGTTTCTCGAAAGATTTTAGTGTGGCTTTCATCTTGTTGCTAGAACATTTTACTGCTAATACCATGCACCTCAGCTATGGCTTTAGGGCATAGTGCATTATCAAACGCTGAGTATTCACACACTGAAATGATCCAAATTTCCTTCTATCCGGCAGGTTGGTAAATCGAAGTCATACATGACTGAAATCTGGGATTTTGTAAAACAACAATGAGAAGAAAAGAAACCCGGGACAGTTTTTTGCTCTTTAACTTCAGAAATTCACCTGAATGGCAGCAGGATACGGGGAGAGAGCAGTGGAGCCCAGATTGCGTCCCAGGAGGGGGTTGAGCGGCATGGAAAGCGAAGTGTGCGTCGCACGCCAGTACGCCTCCAGGTACTCTGCCAGGTGTTCACAAGCATCTTCAAGCTGGTTCTCATCCAAAATAATATCAAACATCTCCTGAGGTTGGAAAAGAAGAGAGGAAGGTGTAATCTGCTGCTGCATTTGGATTTCTTTTCACCACTTGTGATTACATCATGAAACCTAACTTAACTTAGAAGCTGTTGCTTCCCTTAATTAAAAAAAGGGGGTGATGATTACTCACAGAAGGACACTGTGCTAGTTTCTCTGCTGCAACAAGCTGCACATTCAAATGTTTGCTTTGAGACTTCCCTCTTGATTTGATCAGCCTCTGCAAGACCTGTGGGTGACACAAAAACAGTCTAAAAATTAAGAAACTAGAAGACGAGTCGTAGCAGGCCCATGGAAATTGGACTCTGTTACATGTAGGTTTGTGACAAGAGATTCTTTTCTAGAAAATCCAGCCAACACAAGCAATGGCACGCCTGTCACTGCTCCAAACTCACATTACAGTCAAGTCTATGACTTTCTCTCACTGCCTGAAGGGTTTCTTGGTATTTCACAGCTTACACTGACACTTGGCATGTTGTCAAGTACAACACAATAAAGTTTTTTGTCATTGTTTTTAAATAATATCAGTTTTTAAAAAAAATTAACATAATATATAGTATCCTGTTAGGCTAATGTAATTAAGTAACTTAAGCTTTTAATCTCACCTTAGGCGAGGACACCTTAACATGGACGATAATGGGTGCTAATGAAGTCTTGATGAGCTGCGCTGGGTGGTTAATGGTGTCAGCATCCAAAACCACCAGCTGTAAAGACCTGGCCAGCTCAAAGATCCTCTCTATTTCACTCTGGACCTCAGCTACAAAAAGTAAAGAATGTACGGCAGAGCAAATATGAATAAGAAACAATATGCAACGTATTTACGCTCCACATCACCTATAAGACATGCGCATCATTGAGTGAGTTTCCTGTAGCTTTACCAAGGCTGGAGCGGGTGTTGGATCTCTCAATGATGGCCCTCTTACTGGGGTTGTTTAGTACTGACCTCTTGGCCAACGATATGTCAGCTGTTACCCTCGTGATGGATATCCTGGAACAAAAACTGTACGCGTCACACAGAGCACGGCCAGCACCTCGATGCATTATATGACAGAGTCTGCTTCGCTTTCACTGCTCACCTCCCATCGAACCTGTGCTTCAGGAAGTCAAACAGCGCTTTCTGCATCATGTCGGTGACCTGCAGTAATGGGGAGCGCAGAAGGCGGCGCAAACAACATGGACATGGGGAAAAGAGGAAGAAGAGAAGAATAGATTAAAACATTAATCTAATTAAAGGCAGGGGGAATAGGGAAGGCTGTCAAACTTGTTACTGTCACGGTCCCTGAGTCTTGCACCTCCCTGAGCCTGGTTCTCCAGGAGGTTTCTTCCTGTTAAAAGGGAGTTTTTCCTTCCTTTCCCACAGACACCAAGCGCTTGCAGATAGGGGGCGTTGTTTGATTGTTGGAGTTTTCTCTGTATTATTGTAGGGTTTTGCCTTACAATATAAAGCACCTTTCTGTGTTCGCCTGTCTTGTCTTCTTGTCCTCCTCTGTGCGAAGTAAATTTTATTACCGTGTTCTGTTGTGTCCCACTTCCTGTTTTATTTTGGTAATGGTTGTCCTCTGCATCTTATAGTGAGTATTACTTCCCCTGTCTCATATGCTATTGTCTTCAGCTGTGTTTAGAGCTGCACCTGTTTCCTGTTCATGCATGTTCTTCTCTATATATTATGTCAGTCTCCTCTTGTCCTATTTTATATTGTTTGCATAGTTGTGTGTTCTCTAGCATTGTTTTCCTTGTCCTATAACTACCCTGCACTGCTATTTAAAGCACTTTGAGTGATCAAGCAGAGTAGAAAAGTGTTATATAAGAATCAGGCTATTTACCATTTGCTAACCAGTAGTTAATCTCTGAACTTCAGCATTAAAAGGCTCGCTTTAAGTTTAACTTCAGCATCCACTTGTCTGCCTGTGGGTCTGCAAAATTATCCACTACCCACACAGCACACCCAATGGCAGTACCAAGCAAGCAAAAGGTGGCTATAGAGGCTCATAACATGAGCAATTTTATGCAGCTATGGAGCAGAGCAGGCAGTAAAAGAAGCTAGCCCCCCTATTATTCATTCTAATGGTCAGTCTCTGGCTGAGCCACATTTTTACATTACACACTTGACCAAGCTATAGTCTACCCTGTGAAAAGCTTCTTTTTTTCCCATCCTGGCTGATGAACGTGGGTCACATTAAATAAAGCGATCAAAAGCTTCAGTGAGCGATGTCGCAAAGACGAGTGCACAGGTGATAAATTTGGGGCAATCCCTCGGTGTAGCTTTGAATATATAGGCTTGGCTGGTGAACATGCTTGCAGCTCTGAGGCCTTGAACTGAAACAGAAGTTTAAGTTCACAAAGTTACCCTCAAAGACATACACTTATACTTCCCAAGGTCTTTGACTCAGAAAAGAAATACATGGATTCGTGAATAAAATCAGGCAAAGGCGACTATTCGATTGCGCCAGTTGTTGCTCTAAATTGGTACACTGACAGTCACATTGGGTTGACAGGGGCTTCATGCCCATTGGGCTGTAACACAAAGCAGTTGTAAGGAATAAATAGTCCTATTAAAATGTCAAAATACATAAATGCTCTACTCACATTTGAGGTTCTTATTTAAATTTACTTAAAGGGACAGTTGAGGAAAAAAGAAACTTTTTCCGTAGTGCTCTTTATCCATCTATATTACCACTTTTGAAGATATTAGTTGTAGAAAAATCAACTCTCCCCTAAAGACTATGAAGTGTACACATACCATGACGAGAGGTCACACTTGTGTAACTGTATGAGCTGTTCCATAGTTTTGGAGCTGAGGTGTGGAATCCACAGTCCCCCTTTAGATGGGTGCCAAGAAAATTCTTATCTGTGGACCTTAAAAACTGGTTTGAAGAATAGGGGTGAAGTAGATCAACAACACAGAGCCTCACCTCACAAGTGAAAAACCCCCCCTAAGATTTTAAGCTGAAATCTAAAGCTGTGAGGAGGCCACTGCAGATCATTTAATAATGGGGTGATATGGGAAGATTTATGAGAGTGAGTTAAAAGCCTTGCAGTAGCATTTCGGGGAGATGTGAGGTCATTAATAGATGCTTTAGACAGACATGAAAACAGTGCATTACAATAATACAAGTTGCCTGTATTTTATGTCACAGTAGTAGATAGTAGACAAGAAAGTTGGCTGTGAGCGAGGGGCAATGACACATAGGAAATGGGCGGAATCAAACCCAGACCTCTGCCGTGCATATGGATCACTTGTTCAACCAAGTGAGTTTTACTTTTTTAAAGGAATTTTCAAAGTGCATCTTTTTGTGCAACAGTACAACTGCACAGAGCTTCATGCAACCTTGAAATATTGCACGTGAAACCTATTAATTACCACGTGATTACATGTTAACTCTGTGGCACTGGCAAAATAAATAAATAAATAAATAATATTATTGCTCACATATAAAAAAACCTGTAGGGTACTGCATGAACAGATAAACTAAAGGTTTGGGACATGAAAAGTATCTCAAGGCATGGTACACATTATTTTATGTTTCTAATTTCAAGCGATGCTCCACTTTTTCAGACTGATGCAGTTTAACCAGAAGGTTGTTACCACGGCAACACCAGGATGGGAGACAAGGACTGTGATTCCATGACAACTGACTTCAGCACTCCCACCTTCCACAGCGTCCTTGGCCTCCTTTATGCTTTGCACTGTCGTTCCAACCGATTATCGACGAGCAGTTTGGATTTGGATGCTGTTACCCCGGGAACACTCATTGCAGAATGAATTAACTGGGATTGAAATTCAGTAACTTACAACATGATGTAATATTCATGTAAGGCATGAGTCTGCACGGCCCATATGGACGCATGTTAAGGCAACTCGCCCCTGCTGAGTTCTTTATCCAATAGATTTAAATTCCCGTTCCTGTCCAATAAAGATTGCAGACATGGTCTGAGGTAATACTTGGTTGCCTTCTTTGTTCATTCTGACTGATGAAGACACACTGCTGTCGAAATGTCAGCCTGATTGCACAATTAAAAGCTGTGAATTCATCAGCATGCTCCAGCCCCTTCTGTCCTTTCAAAGTTTGCTCACACTGGGAAGCACCCAATACAGTATTGTGCTGTAAAACGAATGTCACGTCACAGTCTTAGATTAAGGATGTCCTCACTAAGTAACAGTGAATTTGAATGAAGAGCACTATCAGACTTGTTATTTCCAAAGTGTTACTTAGTTTTAATAGGATCCCATAAGGATACTGAAGAATCTGCGTCTAGAACAAAGGACTTCTGAGTGGTCTCTTTCACCAGGACTAGTGAATTCATCCTTCATGATAAAAACGACTCATTTATTTTTTCATCTTTTGTGGAGGAAAAAAAAAGGCAGTCAGCCTGCTGGAGGAGCAGCAGTCTTTCTTACCTCATAACCTTTCAGGGAGGGTCCCACCAGGACAACTGGCCTCATGGAGGGAACCACGTCATATGGCGGAACATGCTCAGCCTGGAGGTCCAGAAACACAGAGATAAAGTCAAGCTCTAATATTTTTAGCATTTGTTTCCTAAAGTCTGAAAGCAACCCAGAACTCTCCCAGTGTGTCTGAGTGTAAGTGGAGAAATGCTTTAATCAGTGCCAGCACCAATCCAGAGAAAGATGTTGAAATAAAAGATTTTAAACAACTTCTGCTTTGTCAAAACTGTGAATTAAAGATTAAATAGTAGTAAACACTGATGATGCAAAACCTGCTCTGAAGTTCACAACCTTAACTGGATGGTTGGGAATTTTTCCTTCCCACTGTTGGGTTTTTCTCTCTATGTATTATTGTAGGGTCTACCTTACAATATAAAGCGCCTTAAGGTGACTGTTGTTGTGATTTGGTGCTGTAAAAAAAAAGAGAAAAAAAAGGAAGAAGAAGGTAGAAACTGATAAACTAACATATTATAATTAATACGATTAAATGACTAAGAATGCGGTGAATCAATTTAATGGTTGTATTAATTGTTTATGTAAACAAGGGAAGATCAAGATAAAAGAAAATATAAGATAAAAGACAAAGAACAGAGAGAACAGTGTCTGTAACAAGGAGGCGTCCTCTTCATTTGAGATGCAGTCAAGCAATTTCTTCCACTTTTTTAAGAAAGTCTTGGATCTTTGTGAAAGTCATTTTCTTTTATTACCCCAAGATACAATACCACGACATCTTTATGGATTCCATGACCAAGGATCTTTCTTATAATTGGATTTCTATTGTCCCCAAATTCTTTTGTACGTCCAAAATATGCAGGAGTGGTTGGTGTGTATTTGATCACACTGTCTCCAGCATGGCCGATGTGACTGGCATCATTTGCTCATGGCATAAGGTTCCAACACACTTTAATGTTAAATAAAAAGTTTGCCAAAATTACAGAATAATCTCCACCGTCCATATATGTACGCAATGTATAGATCTGGTCTTTTGTTTTAAAGGGACACAAAGCCTTTTTCTAATAACTGACAGTTCACCTTTAATTACATAAATAAGCAAATAAGCTGTCACACTCACCACTTTCTGTTTCTGCTTTCCTGAAAAAGAAGAGAAATGTGTAGTAAGTGCACACATTTCTATCAGCTATGTTAAAGCCTTATTTTACAACAAAAGGTTAAAAAAAGATGCTCCTACTGATACACAGATATAACTGCAAAGCAGAAGACAAGACCATCCCTTGTGAATCTAACAGTAGCATTTGCTATTATAAATAACCGGATCTGTGCAACCAACCTGCAGAGTTTGGGTTTGGTTTGAACGTTCCTGACACCATCTCTCCCAGACTGGAGGAGGAATTCCCACTGGATTTACTGCTGGATGGATAACACCGGATAGAAAGAGCAGTGTTACTGTAAAAGCTAATGGGATGATTTCATCTGTCACCACCACCGCCCACGAATAAACTCACTATCTCCTACAGTCATAAACTGCATATTATACTATGTTCTTGGATTTAAATAACATCAAAGAACTGGTGAATCAGTGATGTGTCTGTAAAGTAAGGCAGACTTCTACTGAAAGATGAAAGATAGAAATACATACAAGACAAAAGCGATTGCATTAATCAACGACTGGCGTGCAGTTTGTCGATTGTTCTTTCACTGTAAATATATATGACCTAAATATGTCATCATTTTTCTTTCTGTACTATTGTGATAACATGGCTTTGTGATAGAAATCACAAAGTACCTCACAATGACAAGTGCTTTTTTTGTATTTTATGGTAACTGCGAAAGGATAATAGTACTCAGCACCATTAATCGTCTCGGTGACTACAACCCAGCATCCCATCTGATGGAAAATTCTGTGGTGGCTCTGATCCAGGTATACCTCCGAGAGCCTGGACCACACAGCACAACTTGGATTTCATCCACCTGACATCCTGCTTATCTGCCAGCCTCTACTCATCCCTAAAGTGGCTCGCTCTCAGTACAATCCCAAACCCTTCAAACTCTCTTTATCCCCTTTGATCCATGTCTCTTCTCTGCAATATCTGTTGCTGCTGCTGACGCCTTCGCTCTGCCGCACTCATCCAGCCCTCCTCCTCCTGCTCACCCAGGGAAGCGTCCTCTCTTCTT